ACTAGTTCCTAAGAGGGTGGTGCACCAACTATACTTTGAAGTGTGTTCTCCAAGTGTGGAATCTTCCTTGGAATATAGACTTATGCCATCCTACAAGGGATTTCAAGACCATTTATGGTCATAATGTCTCATAGTTAGAAAATTAATTATTGAAATTACACAAAAACTTTGCGAAATACTTAGCTCGTTGAGAAAGTAAAAATGGTAGTATGTTCTACTTCTTCTTTACTTATTCCTTGGTTGATAGTGCAGGCGATAGATAGGGTATTCCTTTCGTCCGCCTAGTGTATGCGCTCGTCCACCATGGGTTATGTCCTCGTATCTTTAACCAACAAGAGATACAGGGAGGCAAACATATTTGTAGTTATCGTTTGTTCGTGATCGTATAGACTTAGTTGTTTCAAAGCGGCTGCTTTGGGTTGCACCTTATGAACAGACAGCTGATTAGTACATCCCTTTTTCCTTCATTTTGAGGTAGACGTCGCTCTTTGACAATCTTCTAAAATTCAATTAACAGTGTGTTCGCAAGGGATGTGGAAAACTATTCCTCGATATTCGAATGGATTTGGCTTACTCTAATACAGATGTCAATTGGAGATAAAATTTCTTAAGAGTTTCTCCACTAAGTCTTTATCCAATCAGTGTGGATCGAGCTTGGTTTCATTCTCTATTATACTGTCTCCATGGATTGACGAATCCAAGCATATAACTTGATAAGACGAAATAATGGAGACATCTTGGGTTTCTAAAGGAGACACGATTTGATAAATGTGTATCCGAACATGAAGTGTATGCAAAAAAAGATACAGGTAAATGAGTGATTATCCTATGTCTCTACATTGATAATTTATTGATTACAGGCAACAATGAAGTTTATATTACCAAATTTAAGATTGATCTAATGAAGGAGTTTGAGATGACAAGCCTTAGTCTTATGACATATTTCCTTGGCATTGAGTTTCATAAGTCCAAAAAATGATTGTTCATGCATCAAAGAAGGTATTCTCTTGAAATATTGAAGAAGTTTGAAATGAAGAATTGTAATGTAGCCATTACCCCTGCAGAACCAAGGTTGCAACTCACAAAGAATTAAGATGAGTAGGATATTAATCCAATATAGTACAACAAGATGATTGAATCATTGCGATACTTGTGCAATACAATACCAGACTTAACATATATTGTGGGCATAATGATAAGATTTATGGGAAAGCCAAAGGCATCACACTTGGCAAAAATCAAGAGAATACTGGGATATAACAAAGGTTTGATTAGTTGCGGAATTTATATTTCCCGCAACTGATAGATGTAGAAGTTGCAAATTACTCAGTTATACCAACTCAAATTGGTGTGGAGATAAATATGACAGAAAATCCACTACGGGATACGTCTTTATGTATGAAAAAATACAATCTCTTGGTTTTCTAAGAAGGAAGCAATTATGATTATCTCTTTTTGTGAGGTTGAGTATATTGCAACGTCTTTGTGTGTATCTCAAGTTGTATGGTTGATGAATTCAACAAAGGAGTTATGCAACAAAGAGGATGAAGTTATGAAATTAATGATATGCAATATTTCTGCTATAAACCTTGCCAATAATCCCATTGCACATGGGAAAAACAAGCATATAAAGATGAGATTTCCCTACTTGCGAGAGCTTATAAGTGAAGAAAAATTGAAGTTGGAGTAATGCGAAAGTGAATATCAAGTGGCCGATTTGCTAACCAAATGTGTGTCAATTGAAGTGTTCAAGAGATTGAAGAATAACATGAGCGTGGAAGACTTGAATTAAGGTGGTGTGTTGAGAAAAAAAAAGTAATTCAAATTGTCGTAACTGCTTACCTTGGGGTTGTAATCGCTTACCACATCAATAAAAATCAAATAGAAAGCTCTCGTAATCGTCTCTAAAGTTAAAATTTGTAGAAAAATTCATAGAAAAATACTAAAATCAAATGGAATTTAAAATTTAAAGAATTTATGAATGACCAAACAATTTACTACCTTAATTGAAAAAAAATTGTTTAAACAAAATTAAAAAGACACAGAAGAAGTGTTTTTAAAAGTCACGTATATATTTCACTCCACATCAACATGTAACTATTCATGTTACTATTTTATTTTTGTTGAAGATTAACATTAAGAAATAAAATAAAAGTAAGTTAATATTTGATCTTATACATTCAATGCAACCCTGATTAGTCTTTTCTAAGAAATTTGGAAAGCTAGGAACCTTGCTAGATTTGAAGTGGAAAGGTCATATAGAAATCAAGTGTTGCCTCTATTTATGCGACTGCCAGCATTGATTTTATATCTAGAACTAACAATTGGTTTAATTTTATACCTAGTGATATAGACAAAGATTTTTTTTGTTAAACAAGCTTAACTTCTAACAATTTAGAATTACTTTTTGGTTAAAAAAACTATGAATTGTGAAAATACAAAAAAGAAAAAAGAAAAAAGAAAAAACTTTCCAACTAACATATGACCTATAATTTATTATGAAGTTGCTGAAAAAAAACTGAGCTGCTGTGGTTGGTGAACTAATTGGGACCATGTCTGATATTTAGTTTTTCTTCTTTAGAGTACCTTTATTTTTAGTAAGATAGCTCTAATAGATTACACCAAAGTCCAAGAGTTTCAATGTGATTATAACATAAAGTTTGAGATCCTCTAAATATCTTAAAAGAAATCAACGTCTCTTTTTTGACGTATACTTATAATAAGAATAAAAAATAATACTTAAGCCTGTATATAAAGTTCTAATAATTATTAAAAATTTACACATACAACTTTGAATATTAAAATTTAAATTTTAGTGATAGCATTAAATCTATTAATATCGGTTTTTATGGTTGATTTAAAATTTGCGGATAAATAAAATTTTATTCTATAATTAAGTGTAATTATATTGATTAAACAATGCTATAATATTTTACTGTGTATTATTCTTTATTTGATTTGTTAATTTTTAAACTTTTTAGGGTTTTTTTTTTTAATTTGTAATAATTTAATTATCATTCATTTGATTTATTTTCTTTATTACCGACTCTACAAATATTTTCTCTTCATGCTCAAAGCATTTAAATGAAATATGTTTATCATAATGTTACACTCTATCTAACATACACAAGCATGCAGTGGATTAATCATAACAAGGATTTTAAAATTCTGTTATGAGAAAGCTAGTTTTCACAACTAACTTAAGTGAATTGTGCAGCAAGTAACATGATCTTCGTCCACATGCTTAGCTTTAGAAGACTTCAACTATTTATTATTTGTTATTTAACAAAATTCTTTTAGCTCCATTCTTTTTAAAATTTAGACGTGTATATTTTGCATCTCAGTTGAAATACTTAAATTTACATATTTGAATTATTTAATAAATTTAATTGAAATACACTGATAAAATTTTATATTGTCAATTAATCATAAATATTAAATGTTGAAAGAAATTTGATTTTTATTTTAATTATCTATAAAATAATACAAATGAATGATGGTAAATAATTTACAGTATAAATTTTTTTACACTAACGATATGTAGTAATTAATCTCTTGTTTGATTCAGATAATATATTTTTTTAGACAAATTCAAATAGTATAATTTTATAATAAATTAAAGTGTTTAACACACAATTAAATTTTAAAATTCGAAAACATCTTGATTCTAAAATTTAAATTATAATTTGAATGTAAATTTAAAAGAAAATTACTTTTGGTTCATTTATTTTAAAAAATTAAAGGTTTAATTATTTTATTTAAAACTAACTTTTTAATTTATTTTGATTATCTATCACATTTTCTAATTGATTTTAATGAAGAGAAAGGATATGGATGGACAAGATGTCGCGTCAATAAAATAACACATAAAATATAATTTGAATATTAAATTTATTAATCCAAATTGATGCTAAAATGGAGCAGAGATCAAAATTCAAAATTTTGAAATTTTTTTGACCGATTAAAAAAGTGGAATTAAAGAATTAAAAAAAAACTTATTTTTAAAATTAAGGAATGAAAAATTTAATTTTTTTTTTTGCATTGAAGTTTTTTAAAAATGGAAGTGCTAATGAATATTTTCGAATACTGTTTAAGAGATTAAAATAATAAGTTGAACATTATTTAAAAAATTAAAAAACATATATTTTTTTAAATATGTATATTCAATGGGCTAAAAATAAAAATAATCAACTTTTAAAAAAAAAATTATATATATTTTCTTTATTTAAAATTTTTAACTAGAAGACTCGTTAGACCCTTTAAAAATTTGTACATGTATTCTAGAACCTCAAATGTGTCTAGTCCAAGTTGGATTCTAGAATGCAGCCATCAATAATTGAGTTTTGATATAGTTATTTATTTGTATTTCTGATCTTAATCCGGATTCTAAAATCCAGCCATTAAAAATACACGCTTTGAATTGAATTCTATTATTTAAAATAAATGTTTTTATTTTCAATATTTTGTTTAGTGGAGAGGATTTGAAGAAGTTCCACCAGATTATATATGCATAAGCCCAGCCCCTCCTTGATCTTGTACCTTATCATTATTACACCATAGAAGCATGACAATGATAATCTAATTTTATTAAAAAAATATTGGGAGAAAGAGCTTATTATTAATTTAAAGTTGCAAAAATATTATTTTACCATTGTAACAAATCTCAACAAAATGCATGTGAAAATACAAGTCAAAACCCAAAAGAGTAGCAAAGAGTACAAATATTATTACTCATCAAACAAATACAATATTTACTTAATTTTTTCATTACAAACATCTTATTTCACAATAGAAAAATTAATGTTTAAGCAATCCCCTAATTTGAAAAGCTATCCACTACTTACAATAAGTATGTAATATAGTTTTTGTTACTGGTGAGCTATTTTTTACATATACAAACTCACTCAAGTAACACTATAAAATATATTCAACCAAAATTTAGAATGAGAAAAAAGGGAAAATGCATATGAGTATATGAATTGTCTTAGCTACTTTTTCTTCTACCTTTCTAATCCTTGTTTGCAAAGTGGGCAGCAAGAAAGAATTTTCAGCCACTGGTCCACACATTTTAGATGGAACACATGAGAACATGGCAATTTTCTAACTTCTTCGTTGTCTTTGTACTTGGCTAAGCAAATGCAACATTCCTGTCAGCCACACCACACCACAACATGAGAAACTTATTTAATTCGATATCAATAGAATTGGATACAAGACAAATCTTCAAATTAATGGAAATTGTAGCATATGCCCGGGGCCGTCTTTGAGGGCGTGTCAGACGGACTGTCGCACAAGACCAAAAATTTGTCACAAACAATAACTAAATAGGGCTTTATAAAATATTTGTCAATGTTAAACTGTTAAACTGTGTTAAATATGACCTCTAAATATTTTGTCATGGTTGAAACACGACTAACATACATATACATAGGATCTCCAAAAACTTAAGACGGCTCTGCATATGCCTAAATGTATTGTATTAATGTGAAATTTGATCGAATATTTGTGTAAAACTTGTTTACATTGTGAGTTAGATAAATACTTACCGGATCTTCATTGATAAATTTTTCAATGCTTTCAGAGTCGTTTCCGAGATCTAACTTGGTAGTATGAGGAGGATCTTTGTGTATCCAACTTGGAAGTTGTGAAATTTGTTCATCGGTTGCTCCTTTATTAGAAGATGCGATGTTCATGTTGTAACCGAGGAGGGAGCTAATCAGTGGCACGCAGCAGCATAACAAAAGAAAAAGAAGGAAAGGGAAAGAGTAACAGATTGCATTCCAGGTAAGCAAAGTGATGCAGAGGACATGGAGTTTTGGAGCTTGTTGAAATGAACCGAAACGTGAGTCGAAAACCCAAACATTTCCCATCACAAACCATATGGCAAAGAAAAGCTCCAGTGAAGTCCTGCATTTGTTCATCAAGTGTGACATCCTGTATACACTGACATAGTATAGTGCAAATTAACATCGACTTTCAAATTTCACCCTCAAAACAATTTGTTAGGTATGACTCATAGTACAATGATAAGTGGGCATGTCGCTCAAGCCCCCAGCAGTATAGCACAGTTCAGGGGTAATGTTGTAAACCAAACTGTAGTTTTTAAGCTTTTAAGCACAAGTTGTACTCTGTAAACTCAATGCTTTTGATGATAATAGAAAGATACTAGTCTCTCTGCAGTTGGAGAGTAGTCGCAATTAGCCGAACTCCATTGGCGTGATCAAATATTGTGCGTTTTAAGTTTCCATTTTTCATATCTATTTTACATAACTATAAATAGAACTCGTTCTCTAACTAAACTTGGATAGATGACTATTAAAGTTATTCAAGCCAAGGTAACACAAACAAACAAGTTTAATAGTTAACTTTTTAGTCCAAATTTGGTGTCAGGTATTAATTTTTCTTTTGTTGGACACTAACTTTTCAATACAAAAAGTTGGTAATACTTCCATCTTAGCCTTTTCATTTTCACGTGATTTGTTCTTAATTAGATTGAAAAGATTGCAATAAACAATAGACTCTTCTCAGTCACAAAAGTAAATTTCACAAACTGATAAGAATAGAAAAAGTTGATTCTTAGTCACAAAAGTTGATTCTTTCATGCTCTATTCAAGAGATAAATTACAATTCCTTTATAATACTCGATACTTTGTATTTTTATATCTTAATCAATCAAATTGGTCTTATCTAAATATCATATTCAAATCAAGGTGCACAATTTTTCTTTTCTTTCTTAAAATTCTCAAACCAAATACATGATGGTGGATTGATGTCAACCATTTCTACTCAATTTTTAAGCATACCTAGAGATTAATACCTTACATAGGTTATAAGTTATAACTTGTTTTTAAGTACTATACTAGCATATTACTATTATGCATCACCAATAACAAAATTGAATAATTAAAATAAACTCTTGAAGATTGAAAGTGCATAGAATACCTTGTGTCTTCACTGTTCCTCTGTTGTTCCATATTAGAAAGGCTTACAGCATCTCCTTGAACCAGATAAATTTGTCGGTACCGTCCATAAACCACAAGCAAATTTAGAACACATCCAATATCATAACCAGATATCCATACCCTCATAGGCCAAACAGGTTTCTCCATATTTGAAACAGCCAAAGTGAACGTAGAAACAATGATTTGTACAATCAAAGCACCAAACTCCAACATCAACCAAGTGCTAGAATTGAAAGGATTCGAGCCAAGACTAGACCTCGAGCCATTCTGATAATGGAAAACTCTTCTTAAAAAGGTAAACCATCTTGATCTAGATATTCTCATAGCCATACGAACAGAAAACGAAGGCGGCAACGAGACACGTTCAGGCCGATGGCTATTTCTAGAACCATCCACTCTTTCTTCTGCTGCTGCAGAATTCGAAGATTGAACCATGCTGTTCGAATTCAACAAACACCTAGAATTCATCGTATGTAAAGTTATATCAAGCTTAAGACTCTCCAATTCATGAACAAAAGGGTATATTTCAAACTAACTTTATCACAAACATTTCATCAAACACGTGGTGTGCATGATGGAGAAAATGAAGTGTTTATATGTTGATTAGAAAGAGGAAAAAGGGTGTGAAGGGTATGTCAAGGAAGGTGAAGTTTGTGAATCAAAAAATGAAACTTTGCTTTGATTCAAAGTGAATCACAAGATTTGGTTTGGAGGGAAGTTAACCGTTGGCCAACTTCTTTTTGATCATATTTTATATATGAAGATGAATTTAGAAAGGAATTGGATTTCAATTTGGTGACTTTTTGTTTCTCTTGTTAATAATAGAAAATTAGAATATTCGCAAAGTTTTTTTTGTTTTGTTTTGGAGTGAAATTAAAATAAAGTGAAGTCGATTTCTCTTTGAATTCAAGTGGATAAGACTTAAAGTGATTAAATGGTGTATATGTTAATATCATGTACAAAACAAAAATTAATTTATACTAATATGATAAATAAACTTCCCATAAAAATATAATCTTACGATAAATAATAATAAAAAATTTCCCTAACAAGTTGGTCTCATGGGATAGTTTGAGAAAAAAAATTGAATTTATTTCTAAGTTTAGAATAATTTATGTGTTATACAACTCTTTAGTTCAATTGATTTTTTTTTAAATGGAAAGTGTATTATTATATTTGTGAGAGTATTAAATAGAGGTAATGTTAAGATTTTTGTTTAAAGTGTTCTCGTTCAGGCGACATCCTCACCGAATGAGAGGCTTATTTTGTGGACAAATGATGTGCATGGTACCATTATCTCCAGTTAACCATTCGAGAAGGAGTCTATCACGACTCCTTAAAGAATATATAGTCAACCGTCTCTCCTAGTCACGGGGGAACGATTATTACCCCAAAGGGTTTCCTTAACCCTAGGTCAAGGAAACCCTTATATATACTTCTCCTCTGGTGGAAGAAAATGATAGATATTGACTCATACAAATCACACCTTATTTATTCTTGCCCTAAATCCTCACGCTTATAGACAAAGTCTCTTACCTCACATGAACAAGTCCTTTAAACAACCACAAACATTACCATACAAGGCTTCTTGCTATTGTGGGCAAACTCTAACCACCGTACATCGTAATATATCTACTAAGACCTCTGAGTGGCACTACTATTGCAGGGGTAATATGTGTACCTGTACTTTTTTTTATTAGTACAGTGATCCACTGTGGGGACCCGGTAAAACTAACATGGGTCATACCTTATTCATCACAATCACCATACTCGTTGTCACCCTCTGCTTTGGTACCCAACCTTTTTTAGCCATGGTTAGCAGAAGGGCTTCACCCCCTACGCCGTGGGATATAATCGGTAATGGTGATCTCAATCGCCACAGAAGAACTATGTAGTAAGAATCAGACACTAGAGGACAATGTCCTTAACATCAAACAACGTCAGCAAGAATCCAATCCTCAACAGCAGATGGAAGTGCTAGGTCCCCAGCCACTCTCAGATGAGATATATGACGCACCTGTCCATGAAGGATTCAAATCTCCCTTTTTGGCCAAGTTTGATGGGCACAATGATTCCTATGAGCACGTTACTTCCATCAATACGAAGATGGCCATCATTTGAGCACCTGAGTATCTGAAATGCAAACTACTGTCTAGAACCTTTAAGAACACCGCCCTGTGATGGTATATGGTTCTACCCCGAGCTTTCTTCTCCAGTTATCAAGAGCTAGTAAAAACACTTGTGCATCAATTCACCACCAGCTGTCATAGGAAGATGTCCACCACCAGCCTGTTTAATATACTACAGAGTCCATTAGAGCCACTAATGAACTATCTCATATGGTTTAATGAAGCCACCATCAGGGTCATTCCCACAATCCAAGAAATGTTGTAGGGTGTTTCAAAATAGACTCCAAACGGGGAACTTTAACGAATCTCTCGCCCATAAGCCAACATTTTCGTTAGCAGAGGTGGTTACCAGGGCCTAATGTTACATAAAAGGTAATGAGAACAATTTCGAGAAGAAGGCGTTGGATGTCAAGGAACGTGTTCCCAATGCTGAAGGTTCACACCACTAGAGGAAGAGCATTTACACCTCTCTTATCAAAGACAGGATTGTGTTCAAGAGAATATGCAAGACAATGGAAAGCTTCATGCCTCTAAACACTTGACGTGAACAAATCTGGCATGACGTTTTTCACCTTCACAACATATTTGTGCCTTTAGCTCAAAAGGAATATGTGATGGGTCATAAACTAGGAAGATGGCCCAAGTTCCATAGAGTCAAGGGGCACCACACTGAGGATTGTTACCAACTCAAGACAGAAATCAAGAGGCTGGTCAAGGAGGGACACCTTAAGATATATGTGAAGGGTGAATCTTCCCATGGGTCAGACGAGTCCAACTCACGAGGTTTGGATGACACGGGAAGCCCCAGGCCCAACAACAAAATGATACATCCCAAGATGAGGGTAGTAAAGTTGTGCGCCACATGCACAACACCATAATAGGAGGATTCGTCGGGGGCAAGGAGACTAGCTCCACTAGTAGAAGGTACATTCACCAAATTCTAAGTATAGAAGATCTCTTTGATATCGAATGTGAACGTGAGCCAAACGCGCCAAAAGTTGCAATTGCTTTCTTTGAGAAAGATGTAGCTGAAATTCACCCTCATAGTGATGAACCATGGTAATTACTATCAAATGTGATGAATGGGATATAAAAAAAATCTCATAGACACAGGAAGTTTTGTAGACATTTTGTAATGGGAGGAATTTGAAAGACTCCGCCTCGGCCTAGAGGATTTAAAACCCATCAATGGTTCATTGGTTGGATTCTCTGAGGAACAAATACAGGTGAAAGGATACATCACCCTGAAGAACACTTTTGGAGAGATGGCTCAAGCCAAAGATATAAAGGTCACTTATTTGGTTATCGACATTTCCTTTTCTTATAATATGATTATATGAAGGTTAGCTTTTAAGCAGATGGGTGACGCCTTGTCCACTTTTTATTTATGCATGAAGTACCTGTTCATCGATAGGAGAGTGAGAGTTATCCATGGATATCACGAGATTTCCACAAAATGTTATTTAGAGAGTCTTAAGCTGAAAAGAGTTTGTACTCTAGTCGCAAAAGCTAGGAAAGTTAATTCGGGAATAGAGTCGCCAAGAGAAACTTACAAGGGCGAGGATACTTCCCCTTAAAATTGTTAGGAAATAGAATATGAACACCCTAAAGGAATGCCCCTCGGAGCCACTTGTGTTACATTTGTTTATTTGTTTTCTTTACTACTGTTTAACTATTTTTTTTGTTGATTTTTATAGGCGAGTATTTCATTTTTTCCGATTGTAAGGACAAGTTATTTTGTGGGGTGCATTTTTTTTCCTTATGTGCTTTACATTGTGTGAGGGTTTTTAATGAGGCCTCTCATTTTATTATTTTAGAGAATCTATTTTGGTTGGCTATTCCCTTTTTGCAAGAAACCTAAACGTTCGAAAGAAAATCACCCATAAGAGTCAATCAAAAAGCGGGATCCCTAAGTGGGATCCTTGCCACCCCAAAAGGTGATCAAAGTGTTGGATTTCCAAGTGGGATCCTTTCCTCCCATAAGAGGCAATACAAATGATGGATTTCCAAGTGGGATCTTTTCCGCCCATATGAGGTGTTTAAAATGTTAGATCTCAAAGTGAGATCTTCGCTTTTCATACGAGGCGATCAAAATACTGGATCTCCAAGTGGGATCCTTGCCACCCATATGAGGCAATCAAAATGATGGATCTTCAAGTGGGATCCTTGTCTCCAATAAGAGGCGATCAAAATATTGGATCTTCAAGTGGGATCCTTGTCACCCATATAACGAGATCAAGATGTTGAATCTCTAAGTGGGATCCTGCTGTGTATAAGAGAAGATTAAAATGCTGGATCTCCAAGTGGGATCCTTGTCGCCCATATGTTGCGGGATCCTTGAGTAACGAGATTTTATCGTATAAACTCTCTCACTGGTGCTGCGGATATTTTTTAAGTGAATGCTCTAAGACTCTAACCTCTTCAAACTGGGCGAGAGCCACAACAACTATTTCTTTAGTACATACCCTCACAGCATCACAATTTTCTATTAGCACCCTTATTGCCGCTCTGTCATTGTGAACACTCCTTATTGCATAATTAACTTTAGAATGTAATTTTCAGATAGTTTGGGAGTGTTTCTCCCTTTGAGATTTCCCCACTAGGAGACACCTTAGGAGTTGGACTTTTAGCAAGTTAGATAACCTAGTAGAAGACATGCCAAGGAGCAACTTATAATCACCAGAAAAGTTCTCCAAGAGGGAGAAGTTGCGATTAGAGAAGTCCATTGCGCTAAATGTAGGATTATTCCGAAAAAAGGCCCGTGAGCGAAAAATACACCACATGCTTTCTCGCCCTCTTCTGCTACCACACGATTTCCTGATGGTCCATAAGGTCCCTCATCCAATCATGGAATCTTTAGGGGCGAGCTTTGCCCTCCTAGGGGGTTTCACACTGCCTTTCCCCTCCATCAATAGCTACACTCTAGAGGCGATTCGTGTGAACCCACCTCCTGTTGCATAACCTCCATCCAAAGCAAATGCTCATTTCTCTCATTAAGAGAGATTTCCTTCATATCCTAGACAGAGAAAAAGATGTTGATAGCACATATAAAGTAATAAATTAAAAGGTATTATTTTGTACCATAGTACATATCTAAGTACTTCTCTACCCCATTATCGTCTTCACGATCCCGAATAATGAGAGTGTGAGCCAGAATTTGGGAACATCTCAAAATATAGATCACTTCCTGGTCAAGAGGAGAAAGAATGTAAGGATCTACCTCTTGGATAATATGAGGATCTAAAATCCATGATAGAGGATAAAAAGGGCCACCCCGTGCCCCTGTAGTCATCAGAGAGGTATCGCCTCACCCTCTCACTCGCACAAACCTATCCTTCC